AGGGATCATTTTGTGAAGTCTTCTTTCCTGGGTGAAGGAATTGGCGGCTGTGATTGCAGAGCCATTGGCCATTATCTTTGAAAACTCGTGGCGAACCGGGGAAGTCCCGGATGACTGGAAAAAGGCTAATGTAGTGCCAATCTATAAAAAAGGGAAGAAGGAGGATCCTGGGAACTACAGGCCAGTCAGCCTCACCTCAGTCCCTGGAAAAATCATGGAGCAGGTCCTCAAAGAATCAATCCTGAAGCACTTGCATGAGAGGAAAGTGATCAGGATCAGCCAGCATGGATTCACCAAGGGAAGGTCATGCCTGACTAATCTAATCGCCTTTTATGATGAGATTACTGGTTCTGTGGATGAAGGGAAAGCAGTGGATGTATTGTTTCTTGACTTTAGCAAAGCTTTTGACACGGTCTCCCACAGTATTCTTGTCAGCAAGTTAAGGAAGTATGGGCTGGATGAATGCACTATAAGGTGGGTAGAAAGCTGGCTAGATTGTCGGGCTCAACGGGTAGTGATCAATGGCTCCATGTCTAGTTGGCAGCCGGTATCAAGTGGAATGCCCCAAGGGTCGGTCCTGGGGCCGGTTTTGTTCAATATCTTCATAAATGATCTGGAGGATGGTGTGGATTGCACTCTCAGCAAATTTGCGGATGATACTAAACTGGGAGGAGTGGTAGATACGCTGGAGGGGAGGGATAGGATACAGAAGGACCTAGACAAATTGGAGGATTGGGCCAAAAGAAATCTGATGAGGTTCAATAAGGATAAGTGCAGGGTCCTGCACTTAGGATGGAAGAATCCAATGCACCGCTACAGACTAGGGACCGAATGGCTAGGCAGCAGTTCTGCGGAAAAGGACCTAGGGGTGACAGTGGACGAGAAGCTGGATATGAGTCAGCAGTGTGCCCTTGTTGCCAAGAAGGCCAATGGCATTTTGGGATATATAAGTAGGGGCATAGCGAGCAGATCGAGGGACGTGATCGTTCCCCTCTATTCGACATTGGTGAGGCCTCACCTGGAGTACTGTGTCCAGTTTTGGGCCCCACACTGCAAGAAGGATGTGGATAAATTGGAGAGAGTCCAGCGAAGGGCAACAAAAATGATTAGGGGTCTAGAACACATGACTTATGAGGAGAGGCTGAGGGAGCTGGGATTGTTTAGCCTGCAGAAGAGAAGAATGAGGGGGGATTTGATAGCTGCTTTCAACTACCTGAAAGGGGGATTCCAAAGAGGATGGCTCTAGACTGTTCTCAATGGTAGCAGATGACAGAACGAGGAGTAATGGTCTCAAGTTGCAGTGGGGGAGGTTTAGATTGGATATTAGGAAAAACTTTTTCACTAAGAGGGTGGTGAAACACTGGAATGCGTTACCTAGGGAGGTGGTAGAATCTCCTTCCTTAGAGGTTTTTAAGGTCAGGCTTGACAAAGCCCTGGCTGGGATGATTTAACTGGGAATTGGTCCTGCTTCGAGCAGGGGGTTGGACTAGATGACTTTCAGGGGTCCCTTCCAAACCTGATATTCTATGATTCTATGATATGGTGTTTTTGTCTTTTATCATTTGAGAGCATAGTAGCATATTAGCATACTGCGCACCAACTGTCCATGTGGACCCTGTTGCCACACCCTAAAATTTCCCTGGTGCACTTTGGATCTTCTCAACTTTCAAATGGGAGTAACTCAAAGTCCTCTAGGGAATTTTTGATGCATGGCAGCAGGGTCCACACAGATTGTGTGCGGTTTGCTAGTCCTCTTCAAATTTATACCCCAGGTTGCTGCACAGTAACTGTTCATTTGTTCAGTGGTTCTTAACCTTTACTGTGGCCTGCACCCCTTTGGTTCTCAAAATATGTTCTCACACCCCTTATCAAAAATCATTGAAGTAGGTCAGTTCTTTAAACCTAGATATATTTTTTGTTTGTATATTACAGTAATTGTTAAAAAATGTATAATGTTAATACATACAGAGGTCTGATGAAACAAAGTAGTTGTACTTACGTGCCTGTGCTTAATTTGTGTTTTCGATGATTTACCTTCTAAAAATATCCGGCATGTCTCACACCCCCAGAAAGGGCATCTCGCAGCCCCAGGGGGTTCATGCACCCCAGGTTAAGAACCACTGATCTAGACAAGCCCCCAGAAATAATATATAAAATCCGTAGTATACCTCCAACAACACATTTCAGTCGCAGAGCGAGGAGGGCACAGTTAGGGTTGTAGCTTGATGGAGTGATGAAGAGCAGTATGAACATGGCAGTGGAGAAGGGGCTGGGTCACTTTACGATTCATTTTTAGACTTTCAAATAATTTGATTTAATTCATACAGTACTGCTGTTTGTAATAACAAATGGATTATCCAAATGCTCTTCTGTGTATATAAAAATTGTGGGTTAGATCCTTAGATGGTGCAAGTCGGTGTGGTACTGTTGAAGTCAATGGACGGACACAGATTTTAAACCACCCAAGGCTCTAGCCCTGCATATATTCGAGTGGATCTCTATCCCCTCACCTTCATAGTGCAGCTGACTGTGTTTTGTACAGCACCCTGAACAATATGGCCATGATCTTGACTAGGGCTTCTGGGTGTTACTGATTTCATATATAAAGTTATTAGAGGTGTAGAACTTGGTGTAGAATGTGTCATGCTGTTTTTATTTTTTTCTCTTGATATTAGCCACACTTCACTGAGGCTCTTTTCGTTTTAACAATCTCTTTTTATTTGGGGAAAGAAAGTGCAGATGGAAAATATTTACAGGTCAGGTAATCTGTGACTCTCCAGCTCACTGCCTGCCTGGCTTTGACATCCTTGCCTCCCTCATCCCACCTACAGCATTTAGCTCACCATCATGTGCTACACTAAACAATTCTGTGTGTGAAATCTGACTCCAACACAGTGTTTTAGTAAAAATTAATTTGTTTATTTTATGCACCACAATATACAGAATGGCTTAGATAGCATCCTCTTAATATATAACAGTAGCAAGAAACTGAATAAGAAAAGAGATGAGGCTCTGTACAGGAACAAGACTGTTCTGTTCTACTGTATGAACTCTTGTGCCATCTTCCTCCTAGTGTTATTTGCAACATGGAGTAAATTTAAAATGCCCTTTAGGCTCCTTATTGTGTTTTTGGCCCACTCCTCTGCACTTCTCTGCTCATTTCTTTCTGCTAATGTATTTACGTCTAATTGAACTGTTCATGTTAGAAATGATATATAATCTTGATCACTGGAGATTTCAATCATCACTTGTGGGGCTTCCTGAACAGCCCATTCTTCAAATTGGGAAATCCAGCCACACAGGGCTTCATTTGACACTGCTTCCAGCAACCAATAAAATAACCACCATTTGTCACGGAAAATTTAATTAATTTATATAGTGCTGTTAGCTTGACAGCTAGGCATCTTGAAACCTTTAATTCTTTAAGACATAAATAAAGCTACTGTCAACTGTTGGCACTCAATCGGCCCTTCCCCCACCTGTCATCCACATACCTGTAGCAGGGTTGCTGAGCTTGCAGCTCCAGCCCCGGTACTTGTTCATTAGGGCTGCAGGTTTATTTCAGTATTTTTTTCATCAAAAATTTTAAAAATGTTTTCTTTTTTATTTAAAAAAATGCCCTCCTTGCCTCACCAAGGGGGCACCAACCACCTGCAGCAGGACCCTCCACTCCAGCACTGCAACCCTAATCCTGGCTGAGTGCAGAGGGGAAGCTGGTGGGAGCTGCTGCGGAGAGAACCCACCCCACAATCACCCCGCAACTGGCTTCTTTGTCCCACAGGACTGGACCTGGCACCCTGCACTTGCCCTGGAGCGGCAGCTCCTGTGTCCCCTGGTTCTGGGCCCAGTGCCCTGCACTCACCCCAAAGTGGCAGTTCCTGTGGCTCCTGTGTCCCATGATGCTGGGCTCAGCACCTTGCTCCTGGCATTGCAACCGGGCACACTGGTTCGCAGCACTGCTTAGGTTTGCCTGACTGCTCTGTCATGATAGAATGTCAGGCAGGCCAAACCTGAGTGGTTCTGTAAGAATGTCAGGCAGGCCAAACCTGAGTGGTTTTGTGGCCCAGTCCACCCGGGCACAATGCCATTCATTGAAGTTTTCTCCCTCACCCTTCTCTCACCCAGTCATGATGGAGGGTCTGGCAGGTCAAACTTGAGCAGGTTTGCAACCCAGGGCATGCAGAGCAGAGAGCCAAGCTCAAACCATGGGACAGGAATTGCATGAGTGCCACTTCAGGATGAGTTGTGGACACAGAAAAAAAGTCATGGACAAATAGGAAAAGCACAATACGTGACATTTTTTTCCTGCTATGACAAACCTGCAATCCTAGTGATCATGGAAGGGGCATCAGCTGTTTCTCAATCTCACTGGCGTTGGCAGGAAAACTCAGAAGGATAGTTCAAAGTAAGGGCACTTACTTCCTACCCACAACATATGCACCAGGTGAAACATGAGCTGGGCTGGGAAGTTGGGAGATTCTTCAGATAGGGATGGAAAATACTCTTCAGTGTAGGCCACAGGAGGGGAAGAGATGGTCTGCCCAGTCCTTTAGGATCATTTGATCACTGTCTTGTAGATAGAAAAGGAGTACTTGTGGCACCTTAGAGACTAACACATTTATTTGAGCATAAGCTTTCGTGAGCTACAGCTCACTTCATCGGATGCATGCAGTGGAAAATACAGTGGGGAGATTTTTTTATACACAGAGAACATGAAACAATGGGGGTTACCATACACACTGTAACCAGAGTGATCAGGTAAGGTGAGCTACTACCAGCAGGAGAGAAAAAAAACCTTTTGTAGTGATAATCAAGGTGGGCCATTTCCATTTTCTCTCCTGCTGGTAGTAGCTCACCTTACCTGATCACTCTGGTTACAGTGTGTATGGTAACACCCATTGTTTCATGTTCTCTGTGTATAAAAAAATCTCCCCACTGTATTTTCCACTGAATGCATCCGATGAAGTGAGCTGTAGCTCACAAAAGCTTATGCTCAAATAAATGTGTTAGTCTCTAAGGTGCCACAAGTACTCCAGTTCTTTTTGTGGATACAGACTAACACGGCTGCTACTCTGAAACCTGTCTTGTAGAGGTGGCTCTAATAGAGTTCTAAAACATAGTTCTCTGCTACATTCCTCTTTTGTTTTTGCTTGACTTTCCACCTTGCTTGTTGTTGCAGGAACTAAGGAGCACCTGACATGCATGAGTTAGGCCTCAGCCCTTATATCTTTTGCCTCCCCTTGTTAGAAACACAGTCCAAAGGAGTAAGGCAGCCACTTCCAATAAGAGGTATGGGCCTCTTTCCCCAGTTACAGTTGTCACATAATGGCCTAGACTGCAGGTAAACTCCCAACCTGTGAGGCTGGGTGGGAACCACAGTTGTAATGGGGAACTGAGCTTCTGGCAGTGATGTGGAGTAAAGAAAGGTGGCCAGAACTGATTCTCAAAAGTCTTATTGCCTATTTTCAAAGGAATTATTTCTCCCTTCCCACAGCCCAGGTACTATAAGATGTTCTTCTAGGCTGCCTTGCCAGCAGAGGACTTGAGCTTGCTGTGACTTTTTATGCATTTATTTTTTAATTTACCAAATGTGTTTGTTTGTACCTGTAGGCACACAGATAAAAATATAAAATCAGATATAACTTCCAGCATTCAGACCCATTGCACTGCTGCTGTGTTGCCTAAAAGAGAAAGTCCCAGGCTGAAGAACAACAGACCCAAGGCAGAAAACTTTATGTACAATGCTCTTCTTTCTTTTTGACACCCACCCTCCGCCCACTGTCCTGCCAGACAATCCAATACCACAGTATGAACTATACAGGCTGGTCTGGGCCAGGCCTGGTACCAAACACTTGAAAGAAATCTATGTAAGAAAAAAACATTGTTGAGCTTTAAGAAAAGATAAGTTACAGTAAAGCTCAGTTATTTCCTCCTTTTGTCTGAATCCCTCCTCCCTCTCTTGTCGTCACAATGAGGGAACCTGCTAACACTTGAAATGGCTTATCCTCTGCTACAAATCCCTCCCTGAGAGAAAACACCTCTTCTTGGCGGTACACCCTCAAGGAAGATTCTGCTTGATGAAGGCTGCATTGTACAGGCTTGATTCAGTGCCCTACTAGCTTGGCTAATTTAAACTAGAGACACCTCTTTATCCCAGCATGGCATGTAAATTCCCTCTGCTGCTGCCTTCCAGCTGCCTGCTCATGCCTCCCCCTCTAAAGCAATAATATTTTCAACTATATTTAAAAACACCCATAAGGTTATACAATGCTAAGTATAAAAGCTGGACATGTGCCGATGGACAAGGTCATAACTACAGGTAAGGGCAAAGAATTTACTGCAAGATCTTGCTCCTGGAAACTGTCAAAGATCCTCCTGGTACCACATATGTGGAAAAAACGGACCACAACCTGAGAAATATCCAAAAATCAGCATTGTTCTTGTAAATGAGAAGTACGGACTTCCCTGGCTCAGGGCAGAGCTTTGCATTATAGTTTCACCCCTCCCCGAATAATAGCAAGCTTGTTCTGTCTGCTGAGGAGCTTCCCTCTGCAGATGATAAATAGACTCCACTTTATTTTTGTTTTAAACAATCTGTTGATTTAATTTTTTTATAATTTGGATCCTATTGCAGTAAAATTGCCTTTCACCATGTAACTATATGAGGAAATCATGCTGTAGGAGGCCAGTGTTGCACAACTGCACACTCAACAACATGAAGGAGTATTCAGTATGTTACTAGTGTCCATCACTGAAGCATAACCTCCCATTTCTCCATTGACAGACCATAATTACAGCCCCTGGAGTTGGGATTTAGGCAGCATTTCTAAGGTCACTTTTTGGTTTTGAAGGTCCCCAGGAGTTTGGGCATGAATTTTCCCATTTTCTTGTCTTTGGCATCTGTGTCATATTCCCCATCACTCTGAACTGGTTGTTCATCCTTCTTGCAGAAGACCTCAAACCTACTATAGACCCGTTTCTCCTTTCGCATATTCTCCATCTTTTTCAGAAGGGTATCTCTGTCCTCTGATGGTTGCCTCTGAGGATTCCTCTTATGGCTCCCAAAACTTTCTGACCTGCTAATGTTGCAGCTTTTCTCCTTCTCGCCTTTACATTCCAAGCTGCTGGTAGACTTGGTAAGATCAGGATTACTTGTGGAAGGTAGTTGCTTGGCCAACTCAGCTCTGTTCTTCTGACTGTTGGCAGAAATTTGCTCCAGAATCACCTTTGTGTCATCACGGAGGTTGCTGCTGTATAGGATGTTTGCCGTGGAAGAAGCAAACCTGGTCTGAGATGGCTGGTTGCTTTTGAAAGCAGGTGCTGTTGTGATCCTTTGGGATTTCTCTTCCTCCATCACTTCCTGAAAATCCCCTTTCGAAGATCGTTTAAGGCTCATGGTCTGCTTGTCAAACTTTCCACTCTCAAGAATGGTTTCTTCCTCTGATTTCTTTTCACCTTTTGGATTCAGCAACTGTTTCAACCTTAGCGACCCTTTCCTAAAAAATTCCAATGGACTCTGTTCCTGTTTGGCACCCTCTTCCTCAGATTTATTGAGAGAGCTGTCAGACCCTTGATTCTTGGATAAACTTTCAGGAATTGATGTGGTGCTTATCCTAGCCTGTGGTTTCTTGAATTCTGTGTCAGCTAGTTCCTGTGTGTCTCTTCTGAATGTCAGTTTCTCCCTCTTCTCTGGCAGAGCAAGCTTCTGAGTGTCTCCTACAAACATCAGGTTCTCCTTCATTGGAAGAGTAGGTTTGCTGTCTATGGGATAGAACCGAGAAGATAATTTTTCCATTTTGCTGCTAATATTTGTTATAGGATCTTTACTTAGTGTGTCAAGGAGCTGGGTGGCTGAGGGAGACATACCAAGCTGTTTCTCAGACTCAATGTGCATCTTGTAACTACTGAAGGATTCTTTTGAGTCTAGCACCCTACTCTCCAGGATCTTGTATTGCACAGCTTTGGTACATTTTTTCTCTGCATTCTGAGATTCTTCCTGTAGAAAACTGGAAACAGCTTTGGTGTGACTAACTGTAGCACTCTCTCTGTCTTTGCCCACAGTTTTGTACTTCTCTAAAAGCTCTGCCACTTTAGAAGAGGTGGCTGCCTTTATAGTTTCATTGTCTTTTATAATATCACTGGACATTTGCTCCTTTTGGATCATCTGAATCTTCTCCATTGTTGTATTCTGCTGATCTAAATTGGCAGCATTAAAAATCAAAGAAGATCTGAGCCTTGAGCTCCTCTGGATCAAAGGATTTATCCTGGACCTAAAGGAATCCTGTTTCACAAGGGAGGTCTCCTCGCCTGCTCTCTCAGTACCTGCCGACTCTTTGGCACTTTCAATTCCCAATGATTTATTATTAAATGACATAGGAGACTTGAAAGAAGGGATCAGGTCACTGGGGTGCTTTGTGAGGGGCTCCCCAAGGCTCAAAACATCATTATATGACTCTGATTCCATGGGCATTGGGATGCCTTCGTCTCCTGGTTCTGACTGGTATGCACTCAGGTATGAAGAAATCCTCCAGTTACGCAAACCTGTTCTATTTTCCTGGGTCTTCTTGTCCTGATCTGGGTCCTGGTCTTGTAAAAACAGTCGTTGTTCCAGGCTCTGCTTCCGTGTGGGGGATGTCTGGCACATGAATTTCTGCCCTATGTTTTGCCTCCTTAGTGACATCAGCCCTGCAGGGTTTACCTGGTCAGAACCATGCCTCACTTCCCTGGAAGAATTTGAATGCTCATAATCTAGCCTTAAGGGGAAACCCTCTTGTGGGAAGTGGGATTCAAGTTCAGGGTATCTGGGGTCCTGTGCATAGTCCTCCATTTCATTGAATCCCGGCCTACCTCCTCGGATTCGCTCAAAGAACCCCTGAGGCCTGCTGGAACCATAGGGATGTTCAAATTGATACTGGTAGAACTGGTCCTTTTGAAAGTGACTGGACTGCATTTTAAAGTCATCCAGATTGTTCATGAACATCTGCCTAGAACACTGCTTTGAAGAAGAAAAGTTTTCAAAGGTTCCTTCAGCAAAGCTGTGCCTCTTAAAGGAATCCAGCTCTAACTGCCTGGAGCGAAATAAACCTCTGACAGGATCAATCTGAGAATTCTCCATTTCTGCCTTCTTAGAATACATGCGCATTGCTGACCCCTCCATACTGTGGCGCATCAGTTCATCCCGTCTAAAGGCTGACAAGAAGTATCTGTCTGGATCAACTCTGTCCATGAAGGGCGGAAAGACATTGTCATCCCTCTGGAATAGCAGGTGTGGTTTCTTTGGAAAGAAGGGCATATTGTTGCCAAAAGGGGCCATGGTAAATGGCTTCTCTGCCTTCACCAAGACATTGGCTGGAGGAATGAGAGGGTCCGACTGAGCAAAAAGAATTCGGAATTCTTCATCAAAGCTGGACACCAGCTCCCCTTGGAAGATGTGAGCGATGCTTCGATGAATCTTCTCAAAGGACCACATAAAACTGTACCAAGATACAGAAAAGATGAGATGTGGTTAGCATCTGATGTGTCAAATCAGTGGCACCACTTCACATCCACCATGCACTAGGTCTAGCCTTCTACTAGCACCAAGTACTACTCTGGCAGCTTTCTACAGCCCACAAGAGTCCCCCATTAACAATTATTGATCATTGGGCATCAGTCAGTCCCAAGACTAATAGGCTCATGTTCTAAACTGAAAGATCTAACATATCAAGTGGTAACCACAGAGAAGAGGAGATGGCGGAAAGGAGGATGAGGGTTATGGTAAAATATGCTAATATGATTGTCCTGTCTGAATTTTTTTTAATTAAATATTTTAAAGTTATTTTAATACATTCTTTTTATTTGTAAATAAAGTACCCACCTGTACAGCACTGAGACAAGGACTCCCCTGCAAGGAAGAGCACCCCATTCCTCACAAGTACTATCTCACTCTCTCAGCATGCTCCCTGCCTCAATGAGGTAATAATTTTCCTTATCTGGGTTTTTAATGTGGGGACACTCACTTTAGTACCAAAAGTACTTAGTATGCTGTTTTCATTAGACTGACCTACCTAAACTCAGAAGTATAACACAGGCATTGACATAGTAACTTCTATATATTAATATTATGCAGTAGTCACTCCCATACTTGTAACTAGATGCTGATTTTAATAACCCACCCATCTTTTTAGCAACTTTAATTATTCTATGATAACACTTAGGTTTGGTGCTGGGTTGAAATAAAAAAATATTTCAAAAACCTATGTTTTCTCAGGACACAATCACTGACATGACTCAGTCTGGGCGGATTATGTTGTGGCTTCAGCCAGGTGGTATTTGGACTTAGCGTCCCTCGCACTGCTGGTATCTGCAGTGATTTTGAGTGTTTAAATTAGTTGTAACAATTACTAATTCTTTGTACAGATATTTTATGTCCTGGATATGAAACAAGCTTGGCTTTAGATTTCTGTAGTTTCCTTAGCTACAGAATTATATATTATCCCTTGGAATAATCGTGCATTGTGCGCCAATGTCGAGTTTAAGGGATACAAACATGCCACTGACATTTAGTTGTCATAGTTAGAGCGCCCTCTTCCACCAGCATCTCTTCCTAATGGAGACAGGGCCATGCCATTCTGCAGTCCCTCCCTACACCCCCTCACCTGTAGTTGCCACTTAGCACCACCATGCAGTCCACCAACAGGAACTTCTCTTTCACATGCCCTTTGAAGGACATCCCCGTGCGGCAGTAATAGGTGGGGCCAGAAACTGTCCGGACCCTCAGGAACTGCAAACCAGCAGAGAGATGAGGCAGTGACTTCCAAAGGCAGCAGCTGCTCTTGCCCTCCCCTTGTCCCCCATTAGCTCATTTTTTCATACCCATCTCTCCCATAACATCAGCACTAGCTTCTCTATTTGCCTTTCTGTCCAGCTACAGTGTCTCATCATGACACTACCCAGGCTTCCTCCCGCCTTTATCTCCCCCTCATTACTGAGATAACTCCTTTCTCTCCTGGCCCCTTACACCCATCTGCCTTGTAAACCCCTCCCTCCCTCCTCCCCCCAGCTCCTCAGGACCGGACCATAGGGTCCCAGCGATGAACCCGCCCAGGTCACCTCCACATAGTTGAGGTTGACTTTGCACTTAGCAGCTGTGTCTAGGAAGAGCTGGGAGTTCATTTCATCCAGGAGGATATACACAGGGACCCTGCGGGCAGCAGCATCCAGCACTTCACTCAGCAGATCCACATCTGTGAAAACGTCCATCACTATAGCTACTACCTGTGGGAGAGAGAGTGAGGTAAGGACAGTCGAGTTTCAGGCCTGCCTTCGTCATCCCTATATATGAGCATTCACTGGCAGCTGCTTACAGCACAGTCCCTCCCACCCCAGCATCTGCCTCTGTTGTACTTGCTGCATTCCTTCCCCCTACCCTGACAGCACATGCCCTGCTGGACCTGTTCTGTGCCCCACTCTGGCACCTGCCCCTTCTGGACTCACTTCATGTCCCGAGAGTAAGAATTCTTACACTTTAAGGCTGGAAGGAATCATTAGATCATCTAGGTCTGATTTACACCTAAAACTTAGGTTGAACTAGCTACATCACTCAGGGCTATGAAAAAATTCATGCCCTGCATGACAGGTAGGTTGACCTCACCCCACTGTAGATGCAGCTAGGTCAGTGGAAGAATTCATCATTGCCCTAGCTACTCCCTGCTGAGGGGGTGGGTGGGTTTACTACTGCGATGAAAAAACCCTCACGTCACTGTAGTAAGTGTCTATGCTACAGCGGCATGGCCTGTAGTACTTGTAGCATAGATATATCCCTAGTCTGATTTCCTGCCTAACACAGGCCTGAGAATTTCATCATTACCCCCTACTGTCCATGATAATTTGGGTTTGAATAAGCATATCTTCCAACAAAGCATCCTGTCTTGATCTGAAACCATCAAGAGATGAAGAACCCAACACTTCCCTTGGTAACTTGTTCCAATGGTAACCACCATCACTATTAAAAATGTGTGCTTTATTTCTAATTTTAATTTGTCTTAGCCTATCTGCTAAATTAAAGGTTTCAGAGTAGCCGCCGTGTTAGTCTGTATCCACAAAAAGAACAGGGGTACTTGTGGCACCTTAGAGACTAACACATTTATTTGAGCATAAGCTTTCGTGAGCTACAGCTCACTTCATCAGATGCATTCAGTGGAAAATACAGTGGGAAGATTTATATCAACAGTGAACATGAAACAATGGGTGTTACCATACACACTGTAACCAGAGTGATCAGGTAAGGTGTGCTATTACCAGCAGGAGAGGGGGTGGGTGGGAGGGGAGGCGGGCCGGAAAAACCTTTTGTAGTGATAATCAAGGTGGGCCATTTCCAGCAGTTGACAAGAATGTGTGAGGAACAGGGGGGGAGGAGGGGAGGAACATGGGGAAATAGTTTTACTTTGTGTAATGACACATCCACTCCCAGTCTTTATTCAAGCCTAAGTTAATTGTATCCAGTTTGCAAATTAATTCCAATTCAGCAGTCTCTCGTTGGAGTCTGTTTTTGAAGTTTTTTTTTTGTTGAAGAATTGCCACTTTTAGGTCTGTAATCGAGTGACCAAAGAGATTGAAGTGTTCTCCGACTGGTTTTTGAATGTTATAATTCTTGACATCTGATTTGTGTCCATTTATTCTTTTACGTAGAGACTGTCCAGTTTAGCCAATGTACATGGCAGAGGGGGCATTGCTGGCACATGATGGCATATATCACATTGGTAGATGTGCAGGTGAACGAGCCTCTGATAGTGTGGCTGATGTGATTAGGCCCTATGATGGTGGCCCCTGAATAGATATGTGGACACAGTTGGCAACGGGCTTTGTTGCAAGGATAGGTTCCTGGGTTAGTGGTTCTGTTGTGTGGTATGTGGTTGCTTCAGGTTCGGGGGCTGTCTGTAAGAAAGGACTGGCCTGTCTCCCAAGATCTGTGAGAGTGATGGGTCGTCCTTCAGGATAGGTTGTAGATCCTTGATGATGCGTTGGAGAGGTTTTAGTTGGGGGCTGAAGGTGATGGCTAGTGGCGTTCTGTTATTTTCTTTGTTGGGCCTATCCTGTAGTCGGTAACTTCTGGGTACTCTTCTGGCTCTGTCAATCTGTTTCTTCACTTCAGCAGGTGGATACTGTAGTTGTAAGAATGCTTGATAGAGATTTTGTAGGTGTTTGTCTCTGTCTGAGGGGTTGGAACAAATGCGGTTCTATCGTAAAGCTAGGCTGTAGACAATGGGTAGTGTGGTGTGATCTGGATGAAAGTTGGAGGCATGTAGGTAGGCATAGCGGTCAGTAGGTTTCCGGTATAGGGTGGTGTTCATGTATTTATCTTTGAAAACTCGTGGCGAACGGGGGAAGTCCCAGATGACTGGAAAAAGGCTAATGTAGTGCCAATCTTTAAAAAAGGGAAGAAGGAGGATCCTGAGAACTACAGGCCAGTCAGTCTCACCTCAGTCCCCAGAAAAATCATGGAGCAGGTCCTCAAAGAATCAATCCTGAAGCACTTACATGAGAGGAAAGTGATCAGGAACAGTCAGCATGGATTCACCAAGGGAAGGTCATGCCTGACTAATCTAATCGCCTTCTATGATGAGATTACTGGTTCTGTGGATGAAGGGAAAGCAGTGGATGTATTGTTTCTTGACTTTAGCAAAGCTTTTGACACGGTCTCCCACAGTATTCTTGTCAGCAAGTTAAAGAAGTATGGGCTGGATGAATGCACTATAAGGTGGGTAGAAAGTTGGCTAGATTGTCGGGCTCAACGGGTAGTGATCAATGGCTCCATGTCTAGTTGGCAGCCGGTGTCAAGTGGAGTGCCCCAGGGGTCGGTCCTGGGGCCGGTTTTGTTCAATATCTTCATAAATGATCTGGAGGATGGTGTGGATTGCACTCTCAGCAAATTTGCGGATGATACTAAACTAGGAGGAGTGGTAGATATGCTGGAGGGCAGGGATAGGATACAGAGGGACCTAGACAAATTGGAGGATTGGGCCAAAAGAAATCTGATGAGGTTCAATAAGGATAAGTGCAGGATCCTGCACTTAGGACGGAAGAACCCAATGCACCGCTACAGACTAGGGACCGAATGGCTAGGCAGCAGTTCTGCGGAAAAGGACCTAGGGGTGACAGTGGACGAGAAGCTGGATATGAGTCAGCAGTGTGCCTTTGTTGCCAAGACTGGGAGTGGATGTGTCATTACACAAAGTAAAACTATTTCCCACTCCCAGTCTTTATTCAAGCCTTTATTCCCATTCCCATCCCAAGAAGGATGTGGATAAATTAGAGAGAGTCCAGCGAAGGGCAACAAAAATGATTAGGGGTCTGGAACACATGACTTATGAGGAGAGGCTGAGGGAACTGGGATTGTTTAGTCTGCAGAAGAGAAGAATGAGGGGGGAGGAAAATTTAGGGGGTGGGGGGGCCCGGGGGTTCCCCCAAGGGTACCGGGGAGGCGCAGGCCGAACTGTGCCTAGACATCGGTCCCTAGTCTGTAGTGTGATTGGGTTCTTCCGTCCTAAGTGCAGGACCCTGACTTATCCTTATTGAACCTCATCAGATTTCTTTGGCCCAATCCTCCAATTTGTCTAGGTCCTTCTGTATCCTATCCCTCCCCTCCAGCGTATCTACCACTCCTCCCAGTTTAGTATCATCCGCAAATTTGCTGAGAGTGCAATCCACACCATCCTCCAGATCATTTATGAAGATATTGAACAAAACCGCCCCAGGACACCCTTGGGGCACACCACTGATACCGGCCAACTAGACATGGAGCATTGATCACTACCCGTTGAGCCGACAATCTAGCCACTTTCTACCCACCTTGTAGTGATTCATCCAGCCCATACTTCCTTAACTTGCTGACAAGAATACTGTGGGAGACCGTGTCAAAAGCTTGCTAAAGTCAAGAAACAATACATCCACTGTTTCCCTTCATCCACAGAACCAGTAATCTCATCATAGAAGGCGATTAGATTAGTCAGGCATGACCTTCCCTTGGTGAATCCATGTGGTGTTCCTGATCACTTTCCTCTCATGTAAGTGCTTCAGGATTGATTCTTTGAGGACCTGCTCCATGATTTTTCCAGGGACTGAAGTGAGGCTGACTGGCTGTAGTTCCCAGGATCCTCCTTCTTCCCTTTTTTAAAGATTGGCACTACATTAGCCTTTTTCCAGTCATCCGGGACTTCCCGGTTCGCCACGAGTTTTCAAAGATAATGGCAATGGCTCTGCAATCACAGCCGCCAGTCCTTCAGCACTCTCGGGTGCAACTCGTCCCCCATGGACTTGTGCACGTCCAGCTTTTCTAAAAGTCCCTAACCACCTCTATCTCCACAGAGGGCTGCCATCTCTTCCCCATTTTGTGATGCCCAGCGTAGAGTCTGGGAGCTGATTGTTAGTGAAAACAGAGGCAAAAAAGCATTGAGTACATTAGCTTTTCCACATCCTCTGTCACTAGTTTGCCTCCCTCATTCAGTAAGGGGCCCACACATTCCTTGGCTTTCTTCTTGTTGCCAACATACCTGAAGAAACCCTTCTTGTTACTCTTGACATCTCTGGCATCATTTGATAGCTGCTTTCAACTACCTGAGAGGTGGTTCCAGAGAGGATGGTTCTAGACTATTCTCAGTGGTAGAAGAGGACAGGACAAGGAGTAATGGTCTCAAGTTGCAGTGGGGGAGGTTTAGGTTGGATATTAGGAAAAACTTTTTCACTAGGAGGGTGGTGAAACACTGGAATGCGTTGCCTAGGGAGGTGGTAGAATCTCCTTCCTTAGAGATTTTTAAGGTCAGGCTTGACAAAGCCCTGGCTGGGATGATTTAGTTGACAGATTGGTCCTGCTTTTGAGCAGGGGGTTGGACTAGATGACCTCCTGAGGTCCCTTCCAACCCTGATATTCTATGATTCTATGACCATTGCGTATTAGCACCGTAGTGTCCAGGAATTGGATCTCTTGTGTGGACTGGTCCAGGCTGAGGTTGATGGTGGGATGGAAATTGTTGAAATCATGGTGGAATTCCTCAAGGGCTTCTTTTCCATGGGACCAGATGATGAAGATGTCATCAGTGTAGAGTAAGTAGAGTAGGGGCATAAGGGGATGAAAGCTGAGGGAGCGTTGTTCTAAGTCAGCCATAAAAATGTTGGCATACTGTGGGGCCCTGCGGGTACCCATAGCAGTGCCACTGATTTGAAGGTCCCCAAATGTGAAATAGTTACGGGTGAGGACAAAGTCACAAAGTTCAGCCACCAGGTTTGCCGTGACATTATCGGAGATACTGTTTCTGACAGCTTGTAGTCCATCTTTGTGTGGAATATTGGTGTAGAGGGCTTCTACATCCATAGTGGCCAGGATGGTGTTATCAGGAAGATCACCGATGGATTGTAGTTTCCTCAGGAAGTCAGTGGTGTCTCAAAGGTAGCTGGGAGTGCTGGTAGCATAGGGCCTGAGGAGGGAGTCTACATAGCCAGACAATCCTGCTGTCAGGGTGCCAATGAACTTAGGCTTGAATAAAGACTGGGAGTGGATGTGTCATTACACAAAGTAAAACTATTTCCCATTCTCCCCTCCCCCCCCCCCCCCCACATTCTTGTCAACTGCTGGAAATGGCCCACCTTGATTATCACTACAAAAGGTACCCCCCCGCCCTCCTGCTGGTAATAGCTCACCTTACCTGATCACTCTCATTACAGTGTGTATGGTAACACCCATTGTTTCATGTTCTCTATGTCTATAAATCTCCGCACTGTATTTTCCACTGCATGCATCCGATGAAGTGAGCTGTAGCTTACAAAAGCTTATGCTCAAATAAATTTGTTAGTCTCTAAGGTGCCACAACTCCTCCTTTTCTTTTTGCTAAATTAAAGAGACCTTTAATAGCTGTTTTTTTCTCCCCATTAAGATACTTCTACATCATAATCAATTCACCTCTTAAACATCTTTTTGATAAGCTGAACAGACTGAGTCCTTTCTCTTACTGTAAAGCATTTTTTTTTTCCAGCCTTGGAATCATTTTTGTGGTTCTTCTTTATATCTTCTCCACTTTTTCAACATGCTTTTTAAAATGTCGACACTAAACCTGGACGCAGTATTCCAGTATCGGACTCACCAATGTAAAAATTGCTTCCCTACATGCATTCACTCTCTCTGTTTTATACATCTACCATGTCTCAGTGGGAGCTCCTGTTCAGTAGCCTGTCCACTGTGACCCCCTAAATCCTTTTCAGGATTTACAGCTTTGCAAGATACAATTCCCCCATTCTGTAGGTATTGCCTATATTCTTTAAAGTTGGCAGTGGGGGTGGTGTCTTTAAGCCATCTTTGAGCTCCTCGTGTTCTGAGACCATGCAGAGTCCTGTGTAACCTCTGGTGTAGCATAGCCTCAGGGCTGCTCTAACTTATGCAGTTTCCTATGGCCTCTTGGCAGCAGAGAATAACTGTAGTACAGTGAATGCTGGCCGTGCATCCAACACCCTCCCTTTCCCTCCCCATGCCAGGAACTGGGAGGAATGTCAATGCAGAGCCTTTACACTGCTCTACACAAACTAGGGAGGCCCCTGTATGAGGGGAGTCTCAGGGAGCTGCTTTCAGTCCAGTAAAACCCCTTTCAATTGTCAGAGTGACCTAAGGGGTCCTGAGTGTAATTTTGCACAGGGAATAGAAGAGGGACTCAGTGCAGAGCTGCCGCATCCTGCCCCATCCCCTTCAGCTCTGTTGGTTCTGGCCTTTGTTCAATCTCACCTGTTGTGCAGCTCGGATCATCCTACGGGCTTCTTCCTTGATGCTGGGATTGTCTGGGGGTGGTGGCTGCACCAGAGTTGTTACCTCAGTACCCTTGAATCCAAAGACCATTGGCCAGCCCAGATCAAGCTCAGGGACAGCAAGGTCAGAATTCAGAGGCCAATAAGTCCCAGAGGATCCATCCATGTCATTGTCATGCATGGCATCCATGCAGCTGCCCTCTTGGTTGGCATACTGGGGCTTCTGGAGATGCTGAGTGATGTGCTCTACCTCTGTGCTGCAGAGAAAGTCAGGGGCTCCTTCTTCATCCAGGAAATGATGATAACTCTCTTGCCCCTCTTCAGCTAGCACATCCAGAGCCAGCCGGTAATACTCCTTGTAATGGGGTGGCAGGTAGTTAGGGTCCAGGGGGTTGTCCCCCTGTGAGGAGCTCTGGGACCGGCGAGCCATGAGGGGCAGGGGAGCTGCAGGAAAGGAATAAAGAGCAGGGAGCTAATAGCCAACATTAACCATCACCCTCATCCCCATTGTCACCTTCCTCCTCCCAAATGTCTATGTGTAGGGATCATGCATGGTAAAATAGTGGGAGACAGTGAACAGACGTCAAGTGCACTGGATAGTAATTACCGTAGAAACAGCTTTTATTGCGGTATGTGAGGCATTATATATCAGTGATATAGTGGCTTGGAAATTGATCTCTTGGCAAGGAAATGGGATTGTATGGTCACCTACTAATGTGTTACTTTGACATATTAGCATATATTTGTTCAAAGTTATGGTTGGGAGGATGGTGTAAATTGGGACGGTGTGATGGTGAGTGATAAGGGATTATAAAGCAGGATGCCTTAGCTGTTCATTTTCAGGCTTTCTAAAGTTAGATTTTTTATTTTTTTGTAACAATCTAGACTTTTTGTTAAAGCAAGTATAATTTGTCTGGATATTAGCTGGACGTCAGTGAAACAAACTATCAGTCTCTCTTTTAAATTAATTATTCTGTGAAACAGGCACTGGATGAAGCAGTACACTCATACATCCCTCAGGTTTCAGAGTAACAGCCGTGTTAGTCTGTATTCGCAAAAAGAAAAGGAGTACTTGTGGCACCTTAGAGACTAAATTGGTTAGTCTCTAAGGTGCCACAAGTACTCCTTTTCTTCATACATCTCTGTGCACCTCTTCAAGCCCTTGGATCCTTTAAAACTGGGAACTATAGCCACCAGGGCATATGATTAGGAGCCTACAGGAAGCTAGAAACACCTCTGTGGGTAGGTGTAGCTGGCAAGAAGAACTTGGGTATGTCCTAGTAGCTAGGAAGGGCTACTAAAGAGAAAGGTGAGGTCTCTTCTCTCCCATCTGATGGGAGCTGGGAAAGTTTAGGTTAGTACCCAGCCTTCACACTTTACTTACTCTTGTTCTGAAACTCTTATTTGAGAATAAAGACAGACCTGAGGGCAGGGTCTTGGATTATGGTTGTTGGAAACTTTTTTTCCTACCTTCCTGACTGGTTAGTTGCCCATTAGCTTAGGTTCTCTTTAGGAATTTTCCTGTTGTGTTTTTTTTCCTACTGTGCTCCTGAAATTGAAATCAGGTTTCTGTTTTTTGCAGGCCCGCTTTGCCCTCTCAGCTCTAGTCTAGCTGTAGGGAGGTGGTGGTTTGTTGATCTTGTGAGTTAGATTAGGACTTTACTTGATGTTGGAGTCTGTGTAATTTGCATACACTTGTGTCTGTCTGGGTCACAATTTCTGCTGATGGATTAGAGGATCCTAAATTTAAGTCCCTTGTTTATCTTGATGGTACCCTAATCATAGTATAGACTAGTTTGGTGTGTAGTCGTGTGTGTGTGCATTGTCTCTATCTCTTGGTATGTGGGTGTATGGAATGTTGTCTTGCTGTCTGCCTTGTATATTTGAGTCTGAGAGTGGTGGTGTGTGTGTGTGCGCACTTCGGGTTGGACAAAAGCTTGGAAATGTACCTGAAAGGCAACTAAACTAGCAACATGCCTACGCGTTCTGCAGAGCTTCTGGAACCTGATTCTGAGAGGGTGGAACTATCCCATGATTCTCACTGGAGCATTAACTCCCAGCCCCACGGTTCCAGGAGCCCTGTCAATGACCAGCAGAGAACTCTCTGTAATAAGAGAAGAGTAAAGAGGGCCTGGGCCACCCACCCAATCAGAGACACCCCTGTAGCTGAGGTAAGTACTGTGGGAGTTTTGGCTGCCCTTCCTTTCTCCTAAGGGAGAGGGATCCCATGCTGCTTATAAAGGGTAGAGTAGGGTGGGGTGTGGTGGGGGGTTTCAGATCTGCTGCTCCTGGAGGAAGAGGAGATTGGGGACCCAGAGTATAACCCTTGCCAAGCTGGGAAAGGGGAGGGGACCCTTATGTGAGAGTGGGGCTACAGTGCTGCAGGTATGAAGCCACAGGGAACTCTGTTGTGGTGTTTCTAGGCCTCACGATTGCCTAATCCAGTGCTGGATGCAAGGTGTCTCCCTTGTGTTTTGTGTATGCTGGGGGATGTCCTCTTACTGTCAGGTGTGCAGATGGCAATGGCTGGATGAATGTGGCTCAGAATGTTATATGTCCTAGACAGACTTTTTTTGGCGGGGGGGTGGGGGGGGGACAGAAAAAACTATTCTGATCATCTAGGCTGAACTTCAGTTTAATACAGGCCAGAGAACCTCGCCCAGGGATTCCTGCTTCAAGCCAAATAACTCCTGGCAGAGGTAGAGTAGCTCTTCTAGAAAGATCCAGACTTGATTTACAGACTCCAGGTGATGGAGAATTCCCCACAGCCTTTGGTAAATTGTTCTGATGGTTAATTACCCTCACTGTTGTTACCTATCAGCTCTGTGTTCTTGGGGAACCTGGGCGCAACACCCAGCCTGTCTGACTCACAAAAGACCTCCCCCACCCCCACAGCCTCTGCTTGAACCAAATCTGCATCAGAAGAAAGACTTACAAAAAGCAATGAAAAGGCAGTGGGAAACACACCTAAACCCCTGGGACAAAGGTGACAGGATTAAGGAAACTCCCCTAGGCTAAGTTGCATCGAAGATGGGACAGGGAGGCATCTCCATTAGCACACAGAATGGAGAACAGAGATTCCAAGGCAAGAATCGCACAGAACTCTGGAACTAGAAAAGCAGGGACGCACTGTATGGTGGGGGATCTCTGCTCCAGATGTTGATGAACCCACACCTGCACACACACAGCTCTGTAGTTATCAGACCAATTCTAGTAATGGCAACTCTCATGTAGCAAGTCATGCTAATAAAGTCCTGGAACAGAACTGGATGGTCAGCCTCAGTGACAGTGGTGGTGATCTATGGTGTGCCAGATACTCAGAGATCAGCTGACTACTTCACTCCCCAGGGAACTGAGTTAAGGTGAGCTGCTGGTGATGCATCAGATGCCAAGATATAGAAAATGTTCTCAACAACCCTGCGTGCTAGACTGCTGCTGTGTTCTGGGAACGGACAACGCTGGAGAAGCCTAGAGTAGTGCAAAGCGGGGGTGCAAATGGGAGGCTGACTTTATACTCCCCTCCATTTACTTGCTCCAAGCAACCCATGTCCTGATGCAGTGCTGGGACCTGGCAGCATGGCAAGGGAATTGGAGAGACCAAGATACTGCTTCATGGGTCACAAATTAAAAACTTCCAGACCCACGAGATTTAGCTGCTAAACTGGTTCCTAGAGGTGAGGGAGGGACCCAGGCTCTGCTTCCTCTTGAGACAGTGGAGATCCTCTAGCTGTTGGAGGCATCTCATTGATGGAGGGAGGTTTTATATAGACACAGTATGTATTTTAAGAGCTATAGCAATTGCAGTTTCGCTCATTTGGTGACTGTGTCCTACTGTCTCTGCTGCTAGGAAGAGGGAGGAAAGAAGTGATGCTACAGAGCCTGTTAAGTTCTCCTCTGTCTGCAGTAGCTGGATTAGGCAGCTCTGTGCACTGCCCCATCTGCAGATGCTGCCCCTGCAGCTTCCATTGGCCACGGTTCCCAGCCAATGGTTGCTGCGGGGGTTAGTGCTTGGGGCGGGAGCAGCATACGGAGCCCCCTAGCTGCCCCTATGTGTAGGAGCCAGAGGGATGACATGCTGCTGCTTCCAAGAGCCGTGCGGAGCCACGGCATGTGCAGAGCGGGGCAAGCCCCCAAATTCACTCCCCAGCTGGAGCGCCGGAGCGGGGCAAGCCCCCAGTGTTGCTCCCTGGTGGGAGCTCAAGGGCCGGATTAAAAGGTCTGATGGGCCGGACACAGCCTGTGGGCCGTAGTTTGCCCACGCCTACTCTAGATCATTGATACTGAATAGCATTGGGCCTGGAACAGATTCCTGCGAGATCCCCTCTAGAAACAAATCCTCATTGGATAATAATTCCCCATTTACAATTTTTTTCAATTTATCAATTTACTCATTTTTAATCCTGTTGTGTCATCCAGCTGTCACTCTCATGTCATGGGAGCACCATCTTCACTTTGTCACAAATGGCTCAGGTATGCATGTAGTCTAGTTGGTGTGTGAAGTGTTTTACTGTCAGGTTTGTGTGTGAGAGGAGGGTATCTTCTTGCTCTGCGTTTCTTCCAGCCTGACTCAGAGTAGCAAGTAGTATGGCAGGTTGGCTGGGGCCTCTTGTCAGCGATGGGGCATTGGTTTGTGAGGGGAGATAGAACTAACTCTCTACTTGTGACATGTTGTATAAGTGTTGCCTGGCTATTACTTCTGGTCTATTTCTGTCAGTCTTGTCTCTAGGACAGGGGATGGTCTTTCCTCTGTGCCGCACACAACATACCGGGGCCTTGACTGGGACCTCTGGAGTAAAAATAGCTGTAGAATGGCACTGTCCCTCACTGTATTTCTATGCAATAGGAGTGTGTCCTCTTGCTGCAAGTACACTGGATACTCTGTCTTCTGTACTGCTGGCCTCAGCTGTGATTAATGCAGGATGACTGTTCTGTCCTGTGGGGTTGGTGGAGGCTGAATGCAGGGTGTGATGCTGAAGATCCTGGGGGAAGCTGCAAGCAGGAATGTGTCCCTGAGGCTGACAGAAAGTGGGTGTGTCAGCAAGAGAGTCAGCACTGGGACGAGCTGGTGCTGCAGTGACTTGGGGATGGCAGAAGGAGCCTGATTTCCAGATGTAACACACACCTCCTGGGTGTGGTGTTCTGTCCCATCTAGTAGCACCAAGACCACTTAGAGAGAGATAAAATGAGTCTGATCTACAGCCAGAGCTAACAGTCAGTTGGCTTTTCACTCATGCGGTAGAGGCTCATGCTCTAAGCTCCAGAGGTCCCAGGTTCGACCCTGTCCACTGAAGACTGGGGTCTGTTGGTGTTACACCGGACAGATTTTTTTAATCAGAATGACATGTACAAAATCTGGACTTTGTTCCATTGCACTTTTGTCAAATGCTCTAGAGAATGCGTCTGCAACCATCAAATGTCTCCCAGGTTTGTATTCAATTTACAAA